TCTGTAAGATCTCAATGGGGATTTTTTATTTTATTGTTTCTTATTGCAGCAGAATGAATAGCATTGAAATGATGCCCTTTTCCCACTGAAACTAGCACTGTCCCATCTTCATACTTGGTTTAATAGTATCTGTAGCAGTACCTATAGCAATGTATAGCCAAAGTTAGAATAAGTTAGTGTAAAAGAAAAGTCAATTAGATGTTTAATTTGGCATTTGCACCTAAATTAAATGCCATGGCTATGCTTCAGTGGAGTATATGCAGGAACTGGCTCAGAGTAGCTTCTGTTAAACAACCACCTTTGCCAGGTTTAGTGACTCAATATAACTTATTTCCTGGCTAAGATTAACTCCTGATTTTATGGCTATTTTTTGTTTCTCTAGTGTAATCAGCACAGATAAACAATTTCAGGGATACAATCCTTTAGACCCTCCTCAGGCAAAATGACCACTTAAGGAAGCAGACGTCTTGCTGCAGTGAGGGCTGACTCCATGCTGACATAGCTCTGGCACAAGGAATGGAAGTTAAAATAATGGATAATTGTATTCAGGAAAATAGACTGGCAATTAAAGACACACAACCTTTTAATATTTTCTTTCTATACTTCAACTCTGTGAAATACACCTCAACACTCAGTAAAGGATTTGGGCAATACTGCTGAACTGCAGAGATTTATACTAATCAATCCTCTCTTGTGCAAACTTAGATGTGTTTCCATGCCAGTGTTTTCTGATGGTCAGGAAGCAGATTCTGCAGGACAGCTTCCTTTTCCCGACCAGCAGGAAATAATATGGTATTTTTATTGCTGCTGTGTTAGAATTTGACTGGGGAAATCTAAGAAGACAGCCACATAAGAATGATCTTTTTTTTCCCCTTCTCTCCAATGTCTTTATTGCCAACTTTATCACGATGTGACTAAAAACTCATTTTAATAACTTGTGAAAAAGATCACTAAGGCTACAATTACAGGCAGTTTCATGCTGAACACAGATTTTTTTGACAATCAAAATTAGATCAGCTGCCTGGGGAAATTTTCCAGTATGTTATTCGTAACAGCTTCAAGTTCTGTCTGTAGTGCCTTCACTTGTAAGAAGCCTTATTATCCTTAGCCTAGAATGTGCACAGAAAGAAAGCCATTTATTACAAGGAGATGCATGGTTAGTTCTCATTTTTAAAAGTGAATAGTTAAATACTTTAAAAGTCTCAGTCTCTCAGGTTTACAGGAGATGTTGAACTACTATTCCTACAGTGAGGAGCTGTTAAACACCACTAACTCCCTGAGAAACAACACGAAATAGCCACATCAGTCTTGTCTTTCTTCCTAGTGATGTGATTGCATGCATTAAAACACGTAACATAGAGAAAGCTGAGTGGATGTCCACTCATTCAAGAGCAGATTTGAATTCGCTTGTAGAGTTATTTCTGTTTGGCGCAAGCTCCCTTTCAATATAAGGCCTCAGCTTTTCTCCTTACCCATGCTCCTCTCTCCTCCTTCAGATCACATCTCAATTTCACCTGCAATCGTCACATGTGGTCTAGCCTTCTCAACATAGAGAAAAAGCCTTCTTTCACATAGGTTGTTCCATACAAAATGAAATGGTGACATCAGGACCACCATGACTTCTCCCTCTCTAAACTAGGTAGACCTTTGCTCACATAGCCCTGGGTTTTTCTTTAGATGGGCTAAGGAAGGGATGGGGTGCTGCCATGCTCTCCTAGTCCTCACACAGAAGGACTGATTGCAGATTGTCTCATATAGCTCAGGCGTTTTACTTCTCTTGCTTACTCTGCACAACCCTTAATCCTCAAGCTCCTGACAGACCATGATCCAGACAAATGCTTACGTCTTCTGTGCCTTCCTGATCTCCCTTGGGCCTTTCCCACAGAATCCTCTTGGACAGCTTCCTCAGCTCTTCTTGGGAATAAGTCACATCATGTCTTCTCCAAGCCCTACTCTGTCTCCAGCTGAGGAAGGAGCTTGTCTTAGAAAATCCTCCTCACATTTCCTAGCAGGGCTTGCACTAACTGACTTGCTTCTCAGGAGCAATCAGCCTCTAGATCCTTACTGGATGCCATCAGCCTCTGCCAGAACAATGCAGCCATAAGGTGCCTTCACAACAAGGAGAACCATATCAGTAAGGAAACTTAGAAGTACTCTATTCAAAAACCTTTTTTTTTGTTCTTTGTTTTGTTTTATTGTTTGTTTTTTTTAGTGCATATTTTAATTAATTTCAATACATATTACTCTTTTAGGAAAACTTTCAGTAAGATTCATCTCTTCTGGTTGAGGAGCTTGAAAGTTAGATGTATGGCCTGGATCAGGACAAGGCTTCTAGCCTTATGCTTCCTTGATAGCTGTTGAGAGAAACAGGCACCTCCTGATGGTGAACCACTTCATAGGAAGAGAGGAGTCTAAAACTGCTCCCACAGATTGCCTGCTTTCCATACACCATCTAAGGAGACAATGGTGACTGGTATATATCTTGCAGAATAGCTTGGAAACATTCTTAGTTTGCTGAGGGGAATCCATTGTGATTTGCCTACATCATCACAGAAAACAGACATGGCAGTGACCAGTGTGTCAGGTGAAGGGTGGGTGTTAACTACTACCTGTACCAGCTGTACAGTTCCGTGCTACACATTTCTGGAAGTGAGCCTGGCAATAGCCCCAGGTGACAGGGTGGCATCCATAGTGACTGTGTCTGCCTGAGGAAGGCTGAGCGGTGAGCCTGTGTCTACCCTCTCTGCATAGACACACAGTGAGAAGAGCTGCGGCCCCTTAAGTTAGGGTTAATCTCTACATCTCTATGGAAATCAGACATTTAAATGAAAAATGTTCTACTAGTTGTGGGTCTGGCCAAAAGTGTCTTTCTGGGCATTAATGTAAGAATCAACACCACCTCTCTTTAGTAATTGATTAGTATGCCATGATTATGGCTGCACTGTTCACCAGCCTTCTTGATACTGCTCTCAGCAACAGATCTGTGTACATTGCATTTTTCACCTACCTTAGTGAGGTGGAACACTGGTAGTTTTCCTTTGGTTGAGAAGAAAATGGACTCTAGAAAAAGAGAACATAATGGACCAAGATGACAGTACATATTTACACAGGCTCTGCCCACTCTTAAAATTGACTAAGGCAAGGAAATGCTTAAAGAATTGTCATTTTTAAATTGCCACTAGAACTAGAATATCCCTATACAAAATCCTAACATTCTGTAACAGCCTTTACATTTTCCTATTTCTACCTCATAAAAGTCTGTACTATACAAAAAATGGTGGTGTGTTCTTAACAGTAGACATTGTTTCAGTCTTTGGATCTGCATTAATCCTTCAAGCTTCTCTCTCACGGTTTATTATGTCATCCAGATTTCACTCTGAACCATCTACTCTTTTCCATATGTTCTTAGCAGGAAATGTGCATGAATTTAGAAACACAGCAAGACATACGATATTCAATAATAAGAACATTTTGAAGAGATACAAAAGAAAAAATCCAAATGAAAGTTCTAACTGGCTTCCAGACTCACTCATTCAAACAAGATACCCAATATTGCTTAGTTTGAAACTTCTAGTTACGGTAAAAAATTGTTTGCTTTTCATTTATTTAGATACATCTGAGATTTTACCGTGGATAAAGATGTAGAGGGTGTTGCTTTATGTTTACTCATGTATAAGTAAGTGTTGTATTGATATCTAAAATCTTGTGAGGTTTTTCTTAAGATTTATGCAAACAAAAGTAAACAAGGCATTAAAGACAAGTCTTTGTATTTTGAGGTTCAGTAAATACAGAGGTATATGAGGTGCCACAGCTTGTTTTATGAATTACATTACAGATGTTATGTATGTATCAAATAACATGATGCAACTGTCTAAAAAAATCTGAATTCTGTACACGTGTCATAGCAACAAGAAAACTGCAGATGATGTACAGGGAATTATCTAAACCTGGGAAAAGGATTCCCAGGTACTTTTCCCATTAGGACTGAACTAAATAAACTGCCAGAGACCTTGAGGATTCTTCCTCTATGACCTGCATGTAGAAAGATGATGGAAGAGTAAGAAAATAGGAGTTTGCTATTGTAGAAAAAGGTAAGGAAACCTGTCTCAAGAGCCTTGTATGTCCATGAAGCAGAGTGAAGGCAACGGAGAGGGGAATGGGAGAAACAGAAAAGGCAGATCACGGCACTTATACAAGCCAGAATAGCACCCCCACATCAATCAGTGATGTTTTGGAAGTCTGTTTAGTCCTATAAAGCTTGGTCGTTCATTTTTGAGAAAAAATGGCAATCTTTACAACAGGAAGCCACATATTTTATAGAAAAAAGATTGGGTTTTCTATTTTGCTTTGAATTTTTACTTTCATGCAATATTTTATGTTATACCCTTCTTCTCCAGGATGACCAGTGTGTAGTAATAAGTTGACCAATCCAAAACCAGCAGAGATGGTGTTAGCAGTGACTTTCTGTCTTTGCTTGATGTTGGTGGGTCTCTAGACAGGCACCAGTTGCCCAGTAAATGGGCTAATTTGTTCCTTGGTCTCTGTGGGATCCACAGTCTGGAGGGTGCAGAGAGGCTGGGGCAGGAAATAGGGATGGATCACCTGTATTCTTCTCCACTACACTGAAGAAATGAGGCAGGATTGGTTTCTGTTGCATCATGTAAGGATTTATCATGGGCATTAATGGTTACAGCGCTCCAGTTAGGGCCTGATGTTGCCAGCAGTGTCAGGCTGCACATCCCGTGTCCAGTCTCCATTCCTGGCTCTGTCCCATCTCTGCTGCCTGCCTTACACATTATCATCAGTATGAGATCCACAGGTCTGCCTCCCCACAGGACAGAAAACAGCTAAGGTGGAACACTTTTAGAGCCTGATAAGACCACTGGAGGCAAAACTTAACTGCTTCTCCTGCAGGAAGTCAAATTTAAGACTATTTACAGAAAATAATTAAAATCATTAAAACTGTGTAAAATTATCCACACAAAGGGAATTTTTTTTTATTTCAAGACCATAGACAGACAATATTTATGACTGAGAGCAGCAGTTCCCAAACTGTCTTCTGCAGACAGTCCTTTGTGGGGCATGAGTCAGTGGCAGACAACCTTGTCACCATCATACTGCTGCGATGTGATGAGCTGTGTTCTGGGCTCTCTGCCAGAGATTCTAAAAAGGTTTTTCCACCACCTCTCTTTCCTGACTTGAAATTGGTTTAAGCCTCAGAAGGATGAGCCTATGTTAGCAGCAAATCAGAACCATATTCACTGTTCCACTCAGCAAAATATTTCTTTTTCTCTTCTTAAATAAGCCTTATATTCCAGAGAATACAGAGAATTTGTACGTGCCTGTACAAAAACGCAATGCGAGCTGGAGCTGAAAGCTCCCTCACTGTAAAGTTTTTTGGACTGTGGCATGTAGAAAATTCTAATGTTTTCTGATGATATTTTTTGGTATTGTAATCGTGCGGTCTATGTGCACCAGGTCTGTAATTTTAAGCTACCCATAGGCAAACATAGCAAGTCAGTACACGCATAAATCAATGGTTGTGGCAGGTGTGGGCCACTGTAACAAATCTTCTATACTTTAAATTAGTCATAAATGCATGCTTTTCACTAAGCAAACTCTCACTCTCATAAAAAAATAAGGTGACCATAGAAATCAATTGTGATTTAATTTGGTGTCTTAAAATGAAAGACATATGTGGACCCAGCTTCTGCTAATGAATTCACCAAATAGCCCACATTTTTTAGATTGTTATTAAAAGAAAAGGTTTTCTTTTTGCATCTCAGGGATGCAACCCCCATGGTTAAACTTTTTAGTTTGTTTGGGTTTTTTTTCCTTTCCTTTGCGCGTGGAGAATTTAAACTTCAGATATTGTTCTGCATATGTCCTGGCAAGGCTGCCAAACAGCAAACACCCCCAAGTTCAGCCAGTGCTCCATTCCTCCGTTCCTCAGGGAGTTCCTTTTTCATGTGTTTTTCATTTTAAGTTCTGCCTCCTTGAATGCTATTTCCTCTCTTTCGGTTTTCACTAAGGTCAAAGAAATCTTTAGCAAATAAAAAATGTGAGCATCCAGTCATCTACTGGAAATGCGCCCATCCAGGGTCTAAACAATAAGTTAATAGGTTCATGAAGCAGTCCTATGTACACTAAGCGGAACACAGTAGAAACCTACACCTGAGCACTTCATCACAGCTAAATAGAGTGTACTTCTCAAATGAGGGCTCTTTTGTCTTGATTATGAAATGCAGAGAAATCAGTTTAGCAGAAATAAAAATCATAGCAAGCGAGACTCTCCTGATCCTCTGGGATAGATGATGGGGCATAGACTTACCCTGCTGGCCTTCCACCATCTGTGGGTTGGAGCTGCAGAGGCCCCTACATAGAGCAAAAATGGTGGTAAGCAGTCTGAAAGCCCAGCTACTGAAAATATGTCATCTATTTTGACAGTACTACATGAAAATCTTAGGGATTAAGATTCCATAGAATTATCCAGAATGTTTTGGGGGATATCTGGTGAAAATAACCTATAAAGAGAAAAAATGTGATTTAACAATAACATTTACTAACTGCAGCCAGATGCTCTGTTGACGTTGCTGAAAATCAAGACACTAACAGGATTTGTTACAGGTGATGATAGGGGATACGTTATTAGTGGGGATCATTTGCCTCTGCAGAGACAAATATGTATTTGGAGGCTGTAAGCTAGTCAAGTGATTAACAGCTACTGATATTTCTAACAAATTTGGGTTTATTTTTCCATCAAAAGTAGAATTCAAGCTTAATCTATCCTTCAGGCAATTCTACCAAGATTAGTATCTGAGCTCAAGGAAGCCCGATCCAGAAGTATTCTCCTGGACTGCTGCCTCCAGTCTCCCCCAACTGCCTCACTGTACCAGTTTCCATAAACTGATAAGGTTCTTCATTATCAGCATATTTGGGTTGATGGATGACTGTTGCAGAAATGTATGGTTCTTCTGGTTAGAAACCTCCTAATTTCCAGGTAATTTGTGTCACAAAACGTCACCAGTACTTATCTCTGCAGAAGGTTCCCCACCTGATACATTCAAGGACTACATTTCTATTCTCCACAGACACATCACATATCATTCCATCCGGTGATCAAATAGTCCACTCCCAGGTCTTTTTTCAAAGCTTCCTGCTTGGGGAAAAATTACGAGTCCTAAAGTGCCTGACCTCACCTTTTGGGTTATTCAAATTCATCCTATTTCTATTATCCCAGTCCCGACGCTTATCCAGTTCTTCCTGTATACTGTCCTCCTCCACATTCACACTACATATTGCATTATCAGAAAATTTCATGAGCACAGCACTACTTTTTCTGCCAAAGTTGTTAAAAATGTTAAATAAGATCAGTCCCTAGACACATCTTGGAAGAACTCCACTAGTAACTTCCTTTCAGTTTGGTATTTCTCCTTTCAACATGATCTTTCATTTTTTTCCACCTCACAATTCTTCTGCTAATCCAAATTTTCTCCAGCTTAACAAGCAATTTCCTACGCAGCACCGTGTCAAAAGCTTTCCTGGTAACTGAGTTGCATCTCATTCTCTTACTAATAAAAGTAATTTGTCAGGTCTTCAGACATGATCTACTCTTGCTAAAGTGAGTGAAATTTAATTTCTTTTCCATCTTCATGTCCTTACCTGTTTTTAATCCTATGTATATTTTGAAATATCACATACTCTTGAAGCGAGACTTGTGGTTGCCTAGACTTCTCCTCTTTTTGCCTTAAGTTAGATCCAACACTTGCCTTTTGAAGGAAAAGCTATCATCTCTGATAAACACATTAAAAATCTTTGTTAGCAGAATTGCAGTTTCTTTAACCAGACCTTTCATAGTTCTTCTAGGATGTGCCTCCACAGCAAGCTGACTCAGTCACATTAATCTCTTTAGAGTTTGGCGTCCACCTTAGATGTGGTTAATTCTATTTCCATTCTCAAATTCCCATTAGCAACACAGCCTTGTTTAACATCATCATCCCTGTTGAAAACTGAGCCAAAGTATTCATCTTGGGGCCATATCTGTATCACCCTTAATTTCACCATCTTCACTGCACAGCACCTATAAATCATCTTTTTGTTTGTGTGGCTAAAATAATCTCTATTTGATTTAGCTTTGTTTGAAAAATCCAACTTAGTTTGTCTTTTGGCAATTCTCATTTTATCCATACACATCCTGCCCTCTAAGACTTAATCGCGTTAGCTGAACATTACTCTCTTTTTCCATTCTACATAAGATGGCTGTTTGTTCTGACTAGGTTATTTCTGAGCTGGGTAATCATCCAGCTAGGTCTATATCCCTTCTCCAGATTTCAGTAGAGGCCCAGAGAAACATTGTACCTTTGTCATTCAGAAACTCAAGCTCTCTTTCACACTCGAGTCCGTGAGTTTCCCAGTCCAGCGAGCTGCATTTTTGAAACTGAAAATGATAATTTCACTTTCAACTAGAACTACCTGTTTTTATCTTTACATTTAATTTAAAATTAATGAAGTACAGGTCTCCTGAGCTGGTGCAACCAGTTCTTCTCTAGTGTCCAAAGTAGCAATCCAAACTGCATCTAGTAGAATGATCTGTATCTGGTTTAAAGTTTATGTGGTGAAAAAGACTGTAAGCTATCTGGGATATTAAAAGACTCTGACAGTAGCACAGTTCTTGGTAGTATTTCTGACTCTAATGGAAATGCAGAGATTTCTATCCAGAACCTGAGCTGGTATAAATCTGTGTTGCTCTGCTGAAACTAGTTGAGCTACAAAAATTTAAGCAGACTCTTTGTCATGACAAACCAAATCAGACACATGACAATCACAGCACACTTTGGTTTTAAGCTACAGAACTTGCTGAACTGCCTCATTCTCTGCAAGCTTTCACATCCCAGAAAGGCTTTTTATGGCACCATTTAGAAGTCTTATCCCCTAAAGCATCAAATGAGGACACTCCTATCACTCCTGCTGCCATTGGAAAAGCATCTTACGCAATTTATTGTCTTTCATTGGCTTGCAAAAAAAGCAAGGAAGTTTCATTAAGTAGGTGGGAGAAGCTGAAGGCCTTTTTCACACTCACATGTTTTCTCTTTGTTGCTGTTTGTACAGGTGCAGTGAAAAAGACTCAGAGGGTGTATCCATAAAGAGAGGACTTGAGAAATGCCACTTTAAATTGTTTGAAATCAAAGGTCTTGGTAGCTCATAAACAGGGAGCTATTTTTCCTTAGGACTGCAAATCTAAATATAAGGAACCACCTTCATGTACAAATATATTCAAACGTACAAATATAACTACCATTAATGAAGCCTGCCCTTGTGGATTGTGAGAACAGGCCCTTTTCATTGATGTTCACTGAGAACTGCTTTACCAAAGAGAAAAAACAAAACCAGAAATAGTCTCAGAATCAACCGGTACACTTGTATGTTCAAATAAAAGTATCCAAAGAGGATATCAGGAAGCCTGTGTTCCATCCAAACTGACCAATTTAATGCTTGCTGTAAGCATACTTCCAGACTAGCATCTGGAAATCTTAAATGAACAGAGATAGTCATAGACACCCTTACACTCCGGGAAATAATTAAAGTTGGAATAAGAAAAAGTTTGTGGACCAGACCATCAGCTGGTATAAATCAGCACAGCTCTAGTCATTCCAAAAAAGCAATGCCAGTTTATGCTGAAGTGCTAGCTGGATCCTGTAGCTTTCCTTTGTGATTAATTTCAGTGCAATCGTTTGCTGGAACATGCTTTTGGACCAAGCTTCCTGAAGCATTACTTTTACAAATCTCTTGCGTGCTCTTGGACTGCTGCCTGTAGCACACCCTTCTGTATTAGGTCTGCTTTTCTCCAACAGAAAGCTCAAGGTTTGGGATTGTTTTTAAATGATAGATTAAAAATAATCGAAAACTTTAGATAGTTTTTACATATCAAAACCAAAATCTTTGCTGATCTGTTACTTTATACATACCGCTCTTGACTCTCTTTTGCGACTCAGTGGCAGTAACTTTTTTAACTGACTGACCTTTTCATTCTTTGCTTAGGCTATCTTTAGGATGGTTAGGGTCAGTATTTTCCCAATCCTTGCGTACCCCAAGCTACCCCCTATCTTAAGAGTGGAAATCCAACCTCGTGGTAGTGCAGAGGCAGACACAGGACTGCCGCATGATGCCTACAGTGCTTAGGGTGAGATGGTTGCCAGTGTGGTTTCACTTGTGCTGGCACCCACCAGCACGAGGCCTTGGGAGCACCCTGGCACCCGAGGAGCTACCATCACATGTGCCAGCACAGCCAGTGCTCCTTCACCCTCCACTTTGCAAAACACCCTAGGAGGTCCCCAGAGCTGGAGCCTTTTGCCAGGGCAGGGTACACAGGTGGCCCTGTTAACTCCCTACTGTTGTCTCAGACCTGCCAAATTCCCCTCCCTGAGTGCAGTGATCCTAATGAGCTCACTCCTCCTGGGACATCAATCACTGCAGCTGGCCCCCTGCCTGCCCTGGCAAACCCAGCAGCACCCAACTCAGGGCATCACAGAGAGAGAGAGAAGCTATAGCACTGTCCTGTGGCTGAAGAAGTGCTGCCATAAAAGGCTGTGCACTTAGAAGCTCTCAATGGAGCATACAGCTCCACCTTGCAGCCTCGTGCCTAAGCACCTTACAGTGGGATGAAGCAGGTCCTCCCTCAGACAAGGCAGTTCCTGAGAAACCAGTCCAAGGGCATAATTCCCAGCCATCATGCAACTCCCCAGCCAGTCCATGCAGTCATGGCTGGCACATTTTCTTTTCCATGTATTGATCACAGAAAAGAAAGGCTAATCACTTAAAATACTGCTCATTCATACATTGCAATTAAACTCACTTTGAAAACACATAGACACTTATGAGTTAGCTTATCACAGTCTGTGCTGTCCTTCCTCTTCTTCCCCAGGTGTTTCTTCCTTCCCAATGCCAGCCAGAACCCAAGAACACATGAAGGAACGTAGGGAACGTATCTATGCAAGGTCATAACTTATTTCAAGGCTATGGTAGCTCTTAAAATATTCTCTGGCAGTGTCCCTCAGGTGTGAATGGCGTTGCTCCTGTAGGAAGAAGGGTTTATGGAAGAGTTCAGAACTGCAGCCTACTGTTAGATGGCAGCAACTCAATTGTCCTCGGTCACCCAGAGACAGCTCATATTCTCCATTACAGGGGATAAGTACAAGGCTGTACAGCCTTCAAGTGTTCAAAGACACCGAAGCCTCGCTAAAAGCCCTGAAGTGCTGGAAGAGACTCATTTTCTTCAGGGCACAGGACTAAATGTAGATATGGGCTGTCTTCTGCTTATGAGAAATTGAGCTGCTGAGATGCCAGGTGAGCTGCGCATAAAGAAATGAGCCAAAAGGAGACTTCATCGTACATCACCTACAAGCAGCATGAGAAGACCACAATTTTCAACACCCAAAAAGACATGGAATTGTCTTTTCAGAGTTATCCATGCTCCCTGTGTAGCAGAAACTTGGAGAATTGCTTTTTCTGGGTGCTTTGGTTTTGGGTTTCCAGGTCCTCATTTGCAGAAGTATTAAGTACTCATATGGTTTTGAAATCTCCATCCTTGGAGATACTTCAGATTTGACTAGATATGACCCTGGAAGACCTGATCTGATTTCAAAGTTGAGTAAAACTTCAAACTTGAGCAAGGGGGCGGATCAGATGGTGCTTTCTAACCAGAATTATTCTCAGACTGCAGCTGCCACTGCAGTCAGTGGGAGCTGTGCCTTGAGTAGACATGTGCTCCAAAAAATCAGAGATTTTCTGCTCAGCACCCAAAATTATCTGGAACTTCGGAAAATATTACATTTTAATACTGCATCTATGAAATGGCGCAAATAATGCCAACACAGGTAGGGGTTAAAGTTTGTTTATAAATTGCCTAGGAATCATTTTCCAAGCATTAGAAAATACTCTGAGGAAATCAGCAATTTACTACTCAGACCAGGGTTTAGCTAATGTAAAGGGACAGAACTCTTCATGGAGCCTTGATGCTTAAATGCAAGGCTGAAAACGCATTCATTAAGCACTTTGTGTTGTGTTGCTCCTTTGAAGCATGGCTTCTGTGCAGAAGGTAATATGTATCTGTGTAATTAAAACCTGTAGTAAGATTTCATTTTTCATTTTGCACTTATTAGTACTTCTCTTTTGAAAATCAAGATTTGGCAGGCCATTCCAATCAACTAGGTATAATTTTATATTGATACCGAAATAGTCATTTTTTTGGCATTGCCGTTTGTTCAAAGTTAAGCTGTAAGGTTATGTACATGGAGGTCTGGAAGATCACAGTTACAGCAGATGCTTCACGTCTGAGTCAGTGACTAGTGTTGACAGGATACTAAGAAATCAGAATAAAATGCTGTGGAGTATATACACACACGTGTATCTGTGTGAAATCTTCTTTGCTCATCAATTAATCAGATTAAGAAGTCGATTGAAGTAACCGAGATTTCATTTAACACATTTCTCATAGGTAACTACTAGCTGTGATAGCAGAAACAAGTCTTCAAGAGTAAAAATAGAAAGCATTCCTATCACAAGTTTTGCTCGAAAAACAAGAAAGCTGTGAGAACAAGGGAATGGGAGCCTAATGAAAACATCTCTCTTTGCCTCTTTCTCTGCAATGCCATGCTGAGAAGCAGCACTTACTTTCCGACAGGCAGAAATCTTTGTGCCTGACAGATAGAACAGGAGATAAAAAGGATACAAAGCATCTGGCTTTCCAATACGTACGTGGGATGATGATTTAAATTACAAAGTTTGAAGAATTTGGCACCTAGCAAACTTGAACCTTGCCCAGGGTTGATTTTCCCCCCTTCAATAAGTTTAGAAAACATGAAAAAAGTATTTTCCCCTATAACATAGCATATAAACAACATCTGCACTTTCGAATGAGTTCAAAACACCTTTGGAATGAAAGGTTTTTCTCTTTGAACAGAGAAGAAACCCTTCCAGCACGTTGCAGTGGAAGGAAAGTCTCGCTGAGATTGAGCTGTCTGGTTCCATTGTAAGGTTGCTGGCAGAGTCCCCGTGGCAGGATTGACATTGCATTAATTACCATGCCCATGGGCCCTCTGACCCTGCTCCACCACAAGACATACTGGCAATGGATCTGAGGAATGCTGTCATTATCTCAGTCCTGAAGACCTGAAGGCAAGTTGTCACCTGAACTGCAGGTAAAGTGAAACATTTCACTGTGCTAATAAAATACACATTTCTCTGGCATTCAGACTGTCTGGGAGATAACTGTTTAATGTATTACAAACCTCATGGTTAACATCTGAGCTGAACAAGCATGATTACACAAAAGACAGGCTTTCTGAAGTACTTTGGTTTGATAATTTTCATAATACTAATTAAATGTTAATAGAGATATATTATCAGATATGGATTTTGCTCCTTATTAGTTGACAGCGGGCCTCATCTTCATTTATGCATTTCAGTAGGAGAAAGTAGCATCAATATAAAGTGTTATGGCATTCAGTTCAAACAGTGCTAGGCCCACAGGGAGTTGTGCTCCACATTAATTTTCTCGGCTTCCAGGGTAAAGAGAGAACAGCGCATCACAGTTATATCAGCTGGCATTTTTTTAGTAACTAGTCCTTTCAGATGCCTTATTTCAGCTGGCTTAATTTGAATTGCAGTGCACCAGCTTGCAGAAATTTTCAGGACAAGCATGATCAACTCGATGCAAATTCTTTAAGACAGTCTCAGTTTGTGCACTGAAAAGTTAAGCACTCACTCATTTCACTGTGATCACTATCTAATTGATTCATTCCTGTCTTGCTTGATTGCATTGCCATTCTAGCTCAAAATCAGATGTAACAGCTATGAAGATGGTAGCCATCAAATGACTTTTTAACCAGCATCAGTTCCTTCGGTTAGCAGCCTTGACTCTAAAACAGTGACAAGGTAAAGCCATATCGCTGTATCGTGATATTTACGAACAGAAAGAGCTTCTGATTTTGACACTGTCTCACTAGAAGCGCTAGAATAAGAGGTCAGATAGCTGAAGTTTAAAGAAATATCATTTACAAACAATAAGCAAGCATAAAAGGAAAAGTATTAGCTCAATCCATATATAATTTTATAATCCATGTGGTGTTTAAACAAATGTTTGTCCTTGTCTATTATTCCCACAGAGTGATTGTGCAAGCATTAAAGATTTTAACAATGTTTATATAAACAACATGAAATGCAAGATAAAGAACTTGATAATTACATATCACTTTTAAAGATACAACTGAATTGTTTAAATCTTTCAAATCAAAGCCATAATGGATTGCAGCTTTATATGTAGTCAAAATAAAGATTTGTGGAATATGAATTTTTTTATGTCTGGTAGATCTATTTTTAAATATTTTTTTAAAAATAAAGCATCCCATGATTAGCCCTTTCAATTACTACATCACAGTGTTTTTTACAGACTCTAATTATATCTTAGATTAAAATTCAAAACACCTGCTCTTGTGGATTGCACTAATTTCAGCCTCGAGTATTTTGATACAAAGAGCTATAATCAGTGAGAGCCAAATGATTTCCTATTCTCTGTACCACACCTTCTCAGTTGAGCACAGCTAAAGAAAGCTCTCCATTTCCTTCTTTTTTGTTTTTTTTTCTTTTTTGTTTTTTGTTATGATCATTATACCTTCTATTTAAAGATGCCTTTTTAATGCTGAGAGATGTATTTTTTACTTAAATCAGTTTAACAAAGATATTAACTTTTAATATAGCAGTAATTTTGATTTTAAATAGCAGATGAACAGTGTAGCTTTCTTCTGTAAGTTCCCCTTTTCATTTCAGTGTAGCTAATATAAATACCTTGTTCCTGGCTTTTAAGAAAACTGCTCTTTAAAAACCCTGTAATTTGAGTTCAGGGATTTAAATGGGAACACATACTTACTTGAAAGATGGTTTTTGATGTGCGTGGTTCTCTGTTATTATTCATGTACTTCTCTAGGCTTTAGGGGTATGATCCAAAGTCCACGGAGTCAATGGGAAGACATGCAGATTTCACTGGACGTTGGGTCAGTATAATAAATATTGTATGAAGAAATAGGAAATAGTTGAATTGTGTAGGTTCTATCACAATAAAATAAGGGTATCTTTAACACTCTTTTTGATGAGCATAATACGGAATCTGACTCTGCTCTGATACACTGTTTTTAAGCCAATAGGATAACACTACAGGACACAACAGAGAGCCATTGCAGGGTATTGAATCAGGCCCACCACAGTCCTCTGAAGCCCTCCAGAGCAATTTGTCTACTCCGAATTTTATGCAATGATCTACCTTCAAATAACTCTGCTGAAGCTGTCGGGTGGCCTGGCAGTTCTGCACCAGAGCTGCTTGTTCGTTTCTCCCCCATGCTGTGCTGTAACTTGCCACGTCGCTCTGTTGCAATGGGCAGGTTTCTGAAGGCCCATGAAAAGCCACCTGGCTCTTGCTCCAGAGTATATTAATGCAATGAAAACAGATTTAATGGCATGTCACATCAGAGCTAGAACAATCTTTTTAGAAATTTGGCATTTTTACACCCTATGTTTCTCACTGTGATTAATTAGCTGTGAATGTATTTACTGATGTTTTTGTTCCCTTTTCCATGTCATGGAATACAGAAGTAAATTCTTTCTGGAAAAATTCAAGCCCTCCACATGATAAAATGGCACATGCCTCACCAAACTCCACTAGTTTTCCCTCAAAGCTTTGAGAAATTTGTACCTGAGCTTTCCATCACCTGTGACAGCATTCTGATTTAGGACAAATGACAGCATGAGCCATAGGTACCTGTTAGCATCTCAAAGGCATGAGGAGTAGCTCTGATTAACCCTACACACTGGGCTTTGATGCGTCCAGTGTTTCACAGTAGTTTCTTAGCCTACTTTCAACTCTGCTCAGATGTATACAGCCAGGTCTGTGATTGCTGTGGGAGAAGGAGACAGTCCCCTGGATGGGCAACAAGTGTGCAGAAGCCATGCAGATGCACTGAGACAGTGATGCAGCGTCATTGGTCCTGTACTCCCCTCGCTCTGGGAGCCCCACCAAGGATGTACATCACTGTGCCCGACTTAATAATCTGGTTTTATGTAGGATAAGTTTGGGTCAAGGATCAGTTTTGGGTTTTGTTGTCCAGAGTTTCCAGTCTTGCATGATGACTGAAGCTGTCTTTGTACCTCCCTGCCAGCCTGCAGACTGCTGTAGAGCAGAGCCCAGCAGCCGCCAGCACCGAGAAAGCCTCATACCCGTAAGGAGAAAAGCAGTTAACACCAGTGGCACTAAAAACAGAACAAGTGATGCAAGTCTTGTGCATAATACCAAGGGCTTTTGTTCATAAATCTCACCTTTCTGCATGGTAGACACACGAAACTCGGTGTCTGCCTGAGGAGCTGAAGGGCTGAGTCAACCCTGCTGAGATTTAAGCCATCGGTTCCAGAGAGTCTAGGTGTTTCAAACGTGGTGCTTACACCACTAAACTACCTCTTCAGCTTTATTTAGCTGCTGCCACTATTATCAAAACAAACCACATGTTGCAAATCTATTTATTAGGGGGTTGTGGTGGGTGGATCCTGGCTGGGTGCCAGGTGCCCATCAAAGCCACTCTGTCACTGCTCTCAGTTGCACAGGGGGGAGGAAATAGAACAAAAGGCCTGTGGGTTGAGAGACAGAGAAGGAGAGATCACCCAGCAATATAAAAACAAATCTTAAACCACTCTCCCCCAACCCTTTGTTCCCAAGCTCAACTTCACTCCCAAATTCTCTAGTTCTTCCTCCTGTAGAAGCACATGGGGATGGGGATTTGGTGCCTTGGTCAGTTCACCACACGTTGTCTCTGCTGCTCCTTCCTTCTTAGGGGAGGACTCCTCAAGCTCTTCCCCTGCTCCAGCATGGGGCTCCTCCCACAGCAGACAGTCCTCCATGAACTCCTCCAATGTGAGCTCTTCATAAAATGTTCCAGTGTGGGTCCCTTCCATGGGATGCATCCTTCAGGAACAGGCTGCTCCAGTGTGGGTCCCCCGTGGGGTAACAGCTTCCTTTGGGCATCTCTCTGCTCTGGTGTAGGGTACTCCATGTGCTGCAGGTGGAGATTTGCTTCACCATGGACCTCCATGGGCTGCAGGGGCACAGCTGCCTCACCATGGGCTGCAGGGGAATCTCTACTTGGTGCCTGGAGCACCTCCTGCACTGACCTGGGTGTCTGCAGGACTGGTTCTCTCACAGATTCTCACTCCTCTCTCCTGCTGCAGGTTGTTGAAAGAGGTTTTTCTCCCTCTTCTTAATTATGTTATACCAGAGGTGCTACCATGTCACTGATGTGCTTGGCCTTGGCCAGTAATGAGTCCATCTTGTAGCTGGCTGAATTGGCTTTGTTGGACATACAGGAAGCTTTTGGCATATTCTCACAGGAGCCACCCCTGTAGACCCTCCACTACCAAAACCTTGCCATGCAAACCCAGAACAGGGTTTATGCTTCATTTGACATGAAAGTACTTTTTAAAGCAAGACAAAACGTTGTGATAAACTGCTTTAAATTTTTAGCTACACAGCATGTGCATTATCTGCTTTTGCTTGAAAAAAAAAAACCAAAAACCCAACTTTTTTTCCGCAGTAGAAATTAAAATGCAACTGATGCTTTAAATTTGAAATTTACTGCTGCTATGAAAGTCTGCCTACCACCTAGGATGTGGAAACATTGGTAAGTTAAAAAGTTAACGTAGATATTATTCAAAGGAAAAAATAAATCGAAGCTGTGTGCAAGCAGTGTCTTCTGTCTGACAGGAGTCCTCAGAGAGCTATATGATGGCATTTTCCAGAATTAAATTGCATTATTATAAGAGCTTTAAATTAAGCTCCTAACTATGACCTTTAAACACGGTGATTGCCATTATGCCTGCTGAGGAGGTTGTGGAGGGTTTGGAAACCCTGTGCAAGACTGATGGGTTTTAATACGTAATCAAGTATAGGTTCATTTAGCACAGCTGTTGAACAGAGGGCCTAACACCGGGTTATCACAGGGAGTGCCCTCTCTTCTCTTCGAGACAAATCAGTGTTAGCAGTGGGAGGCAGGGCTTGTTAGTGCTAGGGAAAACAACACCCTATCTTCCTGATGGGGCTGGAAGAGGATGTGGAGCTTAACAGCCATGCATCTCCTTTAGAGAGTGACCAGGAATAAAACGTTTCCCTAGCACTTGTACAGTTAGACCAGGTAAAACCTCATACAGGGTGCACTTAGAGCAAAAATACATGTTGAAATAAAATATCTGAAATCCTTAAACAAATGCACAGAGTTAAAAAAAGTCTTCTCCAGAACATTCTGTTAAAAACACTATCAACAAATCTTGTTCTCAAATGTACCTACTGACATGCATATACAGCTCTTATATCCTATACACTGTCAGATACCTGTGTGTTGTTCTTCAAGCATGAATAAATGAAACACTGGAGAAACAAAACAAGGCCTCATGCATTGTATGGTTATAAAGCGCCAATTCTGTAAAGGTGCTAATACAACCTATCCTGAAGCCTGAAAGTTCTCATCACAGAAACCAAGGGTCTGTGTCAGTGCAGGAAACAGAGATCTGAGAGGGGCTGACTTGTCTTATAAAGGTCCTGCCTTTCCTAGCGGGACAGAGGGGAAAGCCGGCAGCCTAACTCAGCTGACTCTGCAAAGCAAGGTTAAAGTCAAGACCCAAATAATCTGTTCTGTACTACGTACACTGAAAACAGGTATCATGGACTGTAGGACCTCCTTCTGGCATGCAGAGGGCTGACGTTTCTCTGCAGCATGTGACTGTGCAGGGATGCTGCCACTCATTCTCCTCTGCAGGAACCACATTTGTAACCTCAGCCCCTGGGGCTTGTGCCTGGAGACTTCCCATCACCTACCTCTGCCTGTACCCCTGACCAGCCTCAGGCTTGGAACAGACCCAGTCCCTGCTGACAGGTCCACTCATCAAGAACAAGTGTAGCCTGAGCCCACAGGTTATTAAATATATCAAAAACTCTTCTGATAGCTCCCACAATATTTGTTGTGTCAAGGGCTATAATTTAAGCAGTCAAGATGCAGCATGGCAGATGATTTTGGTGAATGTGTGGCAGGTTTTCAAATGGTTTAACTAACATAAATATACTGTACTGATAATATCGGGTTGTACTGTGTCAGTAATATTTATTCTACACGTTTTATTAGTTCAATTTCTAAACAGTCAATCAAGTAAAGGTAGGCAAAGCCTGAAGCATCACTTTCATATTTTAACACTATATTAGGCCAAAAATTCCAAGATGCTCACTGAGTTTTTAGACTAAAAAAAGTAAGAGCTTCAGATTCACATGCCCTACCATCCCACATAAGTTCTCCTTCCTACTTATCCAAGCAGCTTTGAAGGCTGAAAACCAGCCAATAAGACAAAAATGGAATTTAGACTCTGTGAATCTGGACTTCTGTGAGGATTACAGAAGTGGGAACTGAAAGTGCTGATAGGTTAAGTTATATTTGTCAAGGGAGTTAAACAGTTTAACCACACCAATCATTCATACTATAGGATTTACATATTTTGGGGATTTTTTTATTTATAACCAGCACTGTTAGATATACAATTGGCTGCATGTATTTTGTCTTTCATTTTTTCACAATTGTAGGGAAAAATAAGGTTTTTTTTTTATAAGAAGTCACTCTAGTATTGGTTACAAGATGTATAATAATCTTGTCTCGGTCTTGACTGCTCTCATTCTTTTCCTCTTGTATCAGGTATGATCTGGCTGAGTTCTTGGGGTGCTCTATCTCTGATAACATGGGATATCTCTTAGGAAACTTAGGCATACCTCTTTCTGCCTATTCCACTGACATCTTTTGGCCAGGGAAGCATGAATTTGCTCCTTTAATGGTGTACTGCTGAAAGAGGTTATCACAGATTCTTCAGTTCTCATTTCCCCATCACCAATGTTTTGTCACAGTATTTTTCTCCAGGCTTGTCTTTTTTTATATGATTTCAATAATGATGCAAATTGAGATGTTAAATGCTGAAGTCTGTTTAGCTGCACATCTAAGAAGACCACTGCAGTCTTTAAGAAGACCACAATTTTCTCACTCTTCATTTTCTCACTCTTCATTTCTCACTCTTCATTTCTTCTACAACAGGCTCCTTTATGTGCAGCCAAGTGTTACTTGTCTCTTGGGCTTTGGAGGTAAAGGTGGAATACTTACTCCCTTCAATCACTGGACTCTGTTCTTAATTTCTCTAGTGAGCCAAAGTTTTTCTATCACTAGATTTAACACTAACACAGAATTGCTTCTGTTCTTTGCATGGGATGCAAGATTTTTTCTCTTGATATCAAATCCATTATGAAGCTTGTTTCTTTGATCTGATGAGGTTTGTCTTCCCTTTGCACTGGGGGAAGGAAAAAAGTGTGTAGAAAACTCATCACTCTTCCAAATCCAAAAACCTGTTCCCTTGTCCAGCTTAGGTCATAGGGAAAAAATGTTTGGTGGTTTTAGTCACCTTTCCAGAGCAAGCAAGCATGCACTTGTATAGCAGAAGTAGTACTTGATATGCATTACTATTACTCATGGTACAAAGCATCTTTGCAGACACCCATGTCCAAGTCAGCTATCCAAGTGTTTCTTCTTGTAGACATCTGATTAAACTGAATGATTTATGACACTCTGCTCTGGAAATTTGCATTGTAGCCTCATTGTCTGCTTTCCTCACACTCTTGCTGGTGCCTCTTTCCGCACTTGATCAAATAGAGTACTTGCAATAAACTGATGTGCAGGCTTGCTTTAGGATCCTGTCCATCCTTATTTGGTTATCAATTATTTAATATCAAGGACTCAACAGAAAGCTGTCTGGAGAGAAAAGATACCTTTCATATGGGACTTTCAGCTGGAAGTCATAAAGTTGATAGACCCTAAGTGTCTATAAAACTTTCAGTGTTCCACAGAGAGTTATTTGAAATACAGATTATGACTCTGCTGGGGTAACCCCTAGGCTGGGGATCCAGCTGCTGCTTTTGCTCTAGAGAAGTCAGCAACCAGCTTGGTGGAATAGAATGTATGTGAAGCCACAGATGAGCATCTTCTGCTGTACTTTGGTGTAGCCACCAGCCTCTGAAACATGCCCATGTGGATGCTGAGAGTGAAATTGAAGGACTCTGGAGCACTTTGTAGATTCTTGGGACCTGATTTGGCATGTGAATAGATGAGTGTCTACACGTGTCACAAGTGTCCAGAAGTGTGTCTATCTCATTGGAGACCTTAAGAGAGCCTGTGAAGTCCCTGAACTAAATGCATCCTGCAGCACTTGTTGTTGGCAATCATATGTAAGAGTTGTCAGCTCTTTGGGGCCTGCATGAAAGGCCTATGGACCACCTCCCAGTACCATGTGTATCACTGGTATGCCTAGAACTACTTTGTCACATCTCACTTGAATTTGGAAGCATTAGAAGTTAATAAACTATAAGGCTGTCTTAGGAAATAATTTTGGGAAATAA